CGGTGTGAACGCGATCTGCTCTTTAGTTCATCAGAGCTAAAGAGTTCTGATGAACTAAGTACGGCAAAGTACTTGGTGTGAAAGGTCCTAATGTATAGATAAAGCTCTTTTTTCAAAAAACACACACAAAGCATTACACACTAGTGATTCATTAACCAGGCAAGCATAAGCAAAGATAATATTTGCTATAATACAAATATTTACTATTATTATACTACTTTACTCTCATTCGTCTCAATGGAATAAGCAAATGCAAATGAGCATCAAAAGGAGAGATTATAAGATAATTGTAAAGAAAGATAATAATTATAATCGTTTCACCTCTGATAACTGTAAGCAGGTTCACGACTCAAAGGCTCATTAAACATTATACCTACAACTGAAAACTTGCTTTATGAATGTCTACAGGATTATCACAAGACACGGTATATGGAAGTGCACAATACTGTGTCCTCAAGGCCCTTTATTGCCAGGCACCCTATAACAAGTATTGAAAAATTGTAGAAAGAGGTAACCGCCTTCACATTTTGCAGCAGATCATTTTTTACTCAGGTTGCACTTGGCTCACCTGGCTCTGACTCTGAGGTTGGATTGGTTTATTTTCTACAAGCGTCTAAACCTATTAGAGAATGTAAGCCTCTTTCAGCTTTCTTCATCCGCTGAATTGGAATGAATTCACTTTCGCAAATAAAGAAGGTGTTGGTAGCTCTATCTCTTTATGTGTGTGTGTGTGTGTGTGTGAGTAATACAAATAAAATGTGTGTGTGTGTGTGTGTGTGTGTGTGTGTGTGTGTGTGTGAGTGTGTGTCTGTTTGTGTGTGTGTGTGTGTGTGTGTGTTTCCTTTAAATTAATATACAGAATCATTTGGAAAATGTGCTCCACAAGCTCAGTAGCCAAGTATGAAATAACCCTGGGAGTGTCTCAACGGAGCGATGCTTCTTTATATGGTTATTATACAACCTGTTGCGTGATGTCTTACAGACCTCCTACAGGAAAACCGACATTATTATCCTGTCGACATGGCAGTGTAAAAGGGAGTATGTACATTAATCATAGAGGCAGGTTGACGAACCTTGTTTTTGCGTCTTTTATGCTGCTACAAATTCCTTACATAAGATGGCTAAACACACAGACAGGATTTCGCACCAAAGAGCTCAACAGTACCAGCACAGATTAGTAACTCGTGGCCAGTGAAGCAGCTCTGGTTGAAAAACTGAGGCTTGACTGCTTTGCCCCCAGGGTGGTTTTTACAGCAGTTGATGAGAGAGGAGGAGAGTTCAAATATTACTCCAACAAAAACGTTTTGTAGCCACTTGAGGGATTTAAACAGGTGACATGTTGGTCACTGCCCTCACCCCACTGACACCCCGTGATATCCAGAAGAACTATTACAAGATGCTGCAGGTAGCATTGCACCTATGTGATGTAGAGGGTTTCAATGGCTCAGTTTGATGCTTAATATACAAATTAAGATTATACTAATATATGCAATATTAAGGGCCCTGTTTAACAAACAGATGCTTAACCACAAAACCCAATTTGCTGGAATTATTATGGGCAAAGTATGCCAGTAAAACCATTTAGGGGTTTAACAAAAACCACAATTCCCAGCTGCCGCTTGCTAGAGGTAGTTTTATTTTGTAGCTGGCACTAAAGTAGCTCAATACTATCAAGAAAAATATAAAGTATTTTTTTGAAAAAGCATTGCAATTGATTTAAATGCAGTAACTGTACAGTAGTATTTGGTTTCTTTGGGTTTGTCTTTCACAAATTCACATTTTCCTTTGATTTTAAGTACAAAAACAATTGTAACAGTTGAGTAAGGCGAGCACATTTGTGAGAACAGATGAATTGCAGATGGTTATTTTTATTCTGATTACTTTGCATGTGTGCTAAGGGCAAAATTCTACATTATATGACCATACATTATGAGTGATTTGGTACTCTGAAATACATTATATCTAATTGCCACACTTAACTGATAGAGCTATTATATAAGATTAATTATGCAGATAATATTTACATACATGCTTCCATACAGTATTTGCACTATTAAAACAACGTTTCCTGGTTTAAGTCAAACTAAACGCTTAAAACTGTAACTCCACTCTTATAGTGTGAATGCAATGCACATATACCAGGGGATTTCTGGGTTTACAGACTGAGAGAAAGCTGTTGTAAGAGTACTCAACTAAGCATTCTCTTTAGATGTTTTAAAGAGCAACTTCCAGGTTAAAGACACCTGTGAATAAATGTGTAGGAAAATGATGAATACACTAGATTTTCAAAAAAATATACAGAAATATACACTACAGTGACATCTGGCGTCGTTTTTGTAAGAAATGTTCACTTCCACATAAAAAAGCCTCGGCGCGTGACCTCCCGCGTGTGACGTAACACGGGGGACACAAGGGGGAGAGCGGCCGGTGTAACGTATTAATAAACATGGATCCCAATGCTAGTTTCGACACAGAAGACACAGAAGAAGTTGAACATGAATATTCGAATGCATATGACGGACCACAACCTTATAATTATGAGCCTGCTAGGCGTCCAAGAGACCAGGAGCAGCCAAGGATTAGAAGAAATAACGGCCATCGGAGAGAAATTGAGCTGTGGTGCGAGGAGAACCAGTGAAGAACTGGGCAGCTATCTTGGTGAGTGACCGGCGTTAGCTACAGAATGTTAGCTAAAGTCACATCACAACATTGTGAAGTTGCTATCATATATCAGGCTATAACTAACAGTAGCATTGATAATAAGTGCAAAAGTTACTGGCAGGAACTGTTGATACTGATCCATAACAGAAACTAAATGCNATGCGCAAGTATCAGCCGTATCTCGCGTTACCTAATGCAACTCCACACTACGGTGCTGTGTACCGGAGGAGAGACGCGAGATACGGCTGATACTTGACGATCTGGCGGAGAAAGGTTGTGGAGCCTCCGTTGATATGCCGTTGTAAATGGCTTGATGGAAAGCAGGTGTGTAGTCGGGGAGGGTGCACAGCTGATTGCAGCAGGTGAGTGGAGGTTGAGCCGGGAGCCAGGAGTGACAGCCACCACGCCCACACAAACGACACAGACAGGGGGAAACAAACAAACACAAAGGAGACGGCTGGAGCAGTACAGCCACCACAGCGTTACCTAATGCAACTCCACACTATGTCTTACGGTGCCGTGTACCGGAGGGGAGAGAGAGAGAGCAGCAAAGGGGGGGGGAGAGAGATGTAATACGGTTTCCTGATAAAGCTGTGGAGAGTATGTGTTGCAGGGAGGTGGATGCACAACACACCCAGGAACGAATGCTAGCTCTGGTCCTTTTTACTGTGGACTCGATGTCCTGACAAGCTGGTATTTGTGCAACCTGCACAAACACAATACTGCACCATGATTACAAATGGTGAAATACAATGTAAAACTACCGAAAAATACCAGCTCACTAAAACACAACCGCTCAACTCAAAGCAACTACTAACTATACCCGCGGTCAGAGAGCGGAGATGTTTACCCTTTGTGATGTAATATGACGCGTTTGACGTATGACCTTTAAAAAAAGCCGTTTTTCAAGAGCAGAGTTCAAAATTGCTCCTTTCCCTCTGAATTCCTGCCCTTATGTCTCGTAAAACATATCAAATCCTGCATTCACTTTTTTAATTGTAATTTTCAAGCAAGTTTAAGCATAAATGTAGAAAAAAAAACCCTGCAAGATGCTCTTTAAATGTGACTGTTAATGCCCTTAATTTATCAAGGTGTGTGTGTGAATGTTTGTTTTTCTGTTCTCTCTCTCTCTCTCTCTCTCTCCAAAACACCTTTTAGAAGATTAATATTTTCTTCCTTTTGGCCCTTTCCCCCCTTCCCTGCTCCAGTCCTGTCTTTAATGCCCTCCTTCCTTGCGTTCATAGTGTTTCTGGCCCTCTCTCCCACTGCTCTGCCCTTTTTTGTATTTGAAACTGCTTAGGTCCAATCGATCTTTGTCTGGCAACAGGATTTTTTTCCACCTCTGTAGTTGCATTTTGGGTCATCCTGTACTTTTCCTGTTAGAGCAGTCATAGGAAATGACACGGTAGCTTTGGGAAGATAAGGGGCATGAGAAAGCAGGGGGACAAGCCATGAATTACCTTCAAATGTACTGATTAGTGTGTAATGAGACACACAATAACACTTACACTGCATTGCATTTGCAGTCAGAACAAATTACAAAACGTAACATTAGAGAACATGAACAGCTTTTGTTTGCTTATTTGTATGAAGGTCAGGTTTTGCTTGTGTTTCTTTAGATTCTTAAATCAAGAAAGGGTTGAGCTTGATGCATCCAGAGGTGTGAAAAGCAATCAGATCTTGTACTTGAGCAAAAGTAGAAGTACCAGAGTGTAGGAATACTTTGTTACATGTAAAAGTATAAAAGTATTTTCATCAAAATATACTTAAATGACTCATTATGCAGATCGGCACATTTCAAGTAACTAAAGGTATCAAATACAAAATGTGGAGTTAAAGTAAACAATTTTCCCCTGAATTGTAGTGGAGTAGAAGTACAAAGTAGCATACAATGTAAATACTACAATAAGTACAAGTATCTCAATACTTGGGTAAATGAACTTAGTTACATCCCACCTCTGTATATTAACTTTATAATAAACAAGAAAACTGGTAGGCCTATTGGTAGAGCAGAACCTAATATTGAAGGAATTCGTTTTTCTGTGCATTATATTATACTCACACACCCACATTGACAAATACTCCCTTTTTCACTTTAAAACAATGTCATCACTACACGCAAAATCCTGTAACCATCCTGCAATCCCACTGAGAAACATTCCTTCATCTTGTGCAGAAACAGAGGTAACCGTAGGTGTCAGCATGACAGCGCCAGTAATAACCACCAATCTTGTACAAGAGTTGCGAAACTCAAGAAAAACAACTATTGTACGAAACCACAGAGGAAATGTTTTGAGCCTCATGTAATCCTTTTTTCTCTCCTGTGTTTTCCCTCTCAGCTCCCCCAATGATCCGGCTGTCAGTGAACGACACAGTGGTGGTGGACCCCGGGCAGGATGTGCTCCTAACCTGTGAGGTGACGGCAGGTTTCCCCCTCCCCACCCTGAGGTGGTCGCCCCTTCCCCTCAGCGCACAAGTTCGAGGGCCAACGCTCAATCTGCGGGCGGTCACACCGACCGACGCTGGTTTCTACAACTGTACGGCTTACAACAACGTGGGCAACCAGGCCCGCAAGAACGTCAATCTGGTTGTCAGGAGTGAGTAACACATGTTACTGTGTGTGTGTGTGTGTGTGTGTGTGTGTGTGTGTGTGTGTGTGTGTGTGTGTGTGTGTGTGTGTGTGTGTGTGTGTGTGTGTGTGTGTGTGTGTGTGTGTGTTTATCCCAAGGTGATAGAGGAACAGAAGGTACCAGATCTGTTGTTTATGGGAGTGTTTAGAGGGTTGATGGTTTGTTTGTGCATATTTCTGTTGGACTACCGATTTGTGTACAAAGTTATGGGTCCTAACTTGGCGTACTTCATGCTGTGTTCATCCAGCAAATGTTAAGGTTGGTAAGGTTTACAATATTTGAAACTAGAAATAATACATGCTTTCCTTTGTATTTTTAGTTGTGACTTGTATTACAAATACACACTTTAGTATTCTCCAAAAAATTAAACACATATTTTTATGATTTTCCTCACTTTCGTCGCTGTCCATACAGAGTATTTAAAGATTAAACAATTTCCCTTACAGAAAATGAAAAGAACCATCTGTCCAGTCATTACTAGCTTTATTCATCAACTTTAATGTGTGAATGCGGCACATATTCATTTTTGCGTGTACAGAATGTGTGTGTGTGTGTGTGTGTGTGTGTATGTGTGTGTTGTGTGACACGCGTGCGGTTGATCCATCATTAAAGAGAGCTGATGTGAATCTTGTCAGAATAGGCGGGTTAAGTATCGCTCTTTTTCTAATTCCCCTGCCATTAAAACAGAAGCTTTCCATTTTCCCTCCCCTCTGGCTATTTTTAGTCCCTTTTAATCATCTTTATTCACTCCAATTAGTTAGACTGCAGTGGAAGCAATTAGCGACAGTCTCTTCTGTTAGTTAACACTGTAGAGAACGTATGCTGGATGGGTTTCTCTTGTTAGCTTAATGGGCCTGAACGCATCGTCAAACCAGCACAGGTGGTAAGACGGTGAATGAGACACACACACACACACACACACACACACACACACACACACACACACACACACACTCGTGTTTAATGAGTGCATACAAATCTGCAGGTAGGAATGCGACACAGTTTCAAATGCACATGGCTAGAGACACATCACATGCACATACAACATTGTATCCACACTAACCAGGTGAAGCTGCAGGATCATCTTAAACATATGGTCACTGCTTCATATCCATATCTCCACCCAAGCATCTTGTTAACAAGCTCGAAAGGAGTTTAAATCAAGCCCTCCTCTCCTCCTCGCTGCCTTTCTCTCCCCTTAGTGGGGACACAGAGAGCTGTTTTGTATTCAACATGGAAATCTGTTGGGGAAACGCAGCCTTTGAAACTGGAAATGAAATGTGACAGTGTGAGAGTTACTCTTTGTCCTTGATTTTGTTCCCCACCCCTCCTCCTCTCCCCCTGTTATTGTATTCTGTTTCTGTCTCCTTTTGTCTCTCTCTCCTTCCTCAATTTTTTCCCTCTCTTTCTTTCTCTCTTTGGTCTTCAATTTCCTTTTCCCTTTGGTTTTCTTTTGCCAGGCTGCCCCCTCCTAATGCCTTTCATGCTTGTCACAAACTCATCTTCTGTTCTGTATTAGGCATCTTCCCCCTCCTACGTCCATCCATTTGTCTTTTAATTTCTTTTTTACTCTCATCATCTCTCAATAACCATTCTGTCAAAACTAAGTGCACTATCTTGTCAAATCAAAAGGTTGTTTATATTCAACAAACTTAAAAATCGGTATTGCTGTTAAAGAAATATGTCTAGCAAATGTTGAAATAAAAAAAGGTAATGGAGAGATTAATAAACATATATATATACTGTATAATAATCATGGAGTACAAGGACACTATTATCAACGCCACGCCCCCTTCATAGTTGCTCCAAGACTGGCCTAACTAGTTAACAAACTAACCAACCAACCAACTAACTAACTAACTCGCTCACTCACTCACACATTTTTTTAAAAGCACACCACCCTCTGAGTTTGGACTACCTGGCTACCATCTATAGCTTTAATTTTACATAATGCTGCAATAAGTTATTGCCTGAGTTCTGTATTTAATTGGCAAAAGGTATGTGTGTGTGTTAAATTAAACATCTCTTGTAGAATCGGCTAAATGTGAATTAGTTCCATGAGGTGCTTTATATTAAAGATACCTTTTTGACAAAGTGAAAGATTATGGAGATTAAGTGCAAGCATTTAAGGAGTAGGAAAATATACTTTAACTATCTTCATATTCATTCCTTCAATTTGGTCTTCTCCCAGGTATTTCTTTCTTGAAATAGTCCCTTCAGCAGGGATGTTATCCAAGTCTCCAGCACAGACAGCCTGACACTGAACCCTCTATTTAACTGGTTCTTCTCTCTGCTTCTTCACCCCACACACACAGCAATGAGTAACCTGACCTTCCAGATAACACCAGACTCCAACAAGGACAGCGAGACCATCCAGATGGGTCGGGACCTCAAGCTGTCGTGCCATGTTGATGCCACCCCACAGGACAAGGTTAACTACACCTGGTACAAGAACGGTGCACCTGTTTTCAACTCGGATAGCCTGATCTTGTTGCGCAGTGACCCAGACATGGCACCCGGCACCAGTAGCTTGGAGATTGTTGACATGAAGTTCAGAGACTTGGCTACCTACAGCTGTGTGGCGAACTTCCCCGGCAGCAGGGTGCCAGAGCTGCGTGTGGATGTCAACATCTCTCAGAACAGTGGTGAGGTTTTCCGTTCATTTTTCATGTTTTATCGCTGTCAGACCGGGAAAAACTTCCATTAGTGTCTCTCTGTCAGTTCAAGCGCTCCAAAAATCCTTTGATTAGTCAGATGATGATGGTTCGAGGCATGTTTTTGAAGGATTTTTGTTTTTAAGCTGACTGCATCCAGATCTGAACACACAGTCACTGTCAATTTGTTTTAGGGCTTTGTGTAACTGTGCGTTTGTGTGCTTTATTTGTGGTTAATTATTATGTGCACACTTAATTACTGAGCAGTTATCTTTTTTTACTGTTCCTGTGTTGCTTTAAACCAGTGGTTCTCAAAGTGGGGGGCGCGCCCCCCCAGGGGGGCGCAGAGGCATGACAGGGGGGGCGCGAGAGACCAGGAGGAAAAAATGGTTAATAAAAAAAAAAAAAACAATNAGCCTGGTAAATTTAAGTTTATTTCATTAATTTGTATTCCCCGTCTGTCTCTGTTTTACAGTCTCTCTGTTCACATCATCTGTCATTGTTAAGTCATGTCTTATCTAGAGTTATTAAACAGTAACATATAGCCCCTTTTTCCAGTCAATTGTTCATTTCATATGTTGTTTATTCTGAAATTGAATTATTCTTATCTATACTTTTACTTATTCATTTATTTTAACAGGGACAGTTCACATTAATCAACATTTGTGTAAATGTGCCAGAGTTAGCCAAGAGGCTATTTTTCATCTGTAGTCCCTGGACAGATTATACCTTTTTTGCTACACTAACAAGCTACAATAAATAAGAATTTCCTTTGGCTTTTTTTTTAATGCAAATTGTATGAAGATTGTTTTCCTTTATTGCAGCAGTTTGTGTAATTGTAAAAAAAAAAAGTCAATTACATAATTGATGGTTCTTTCTGTTTATGTAGAGAGTGTATTTACACTTTTCTCTCTATTATTTTCTTTCTAACCCTGCCCTTTCATTCCCTGCAGTCTCTCCTCCAGTGTTGGCTCTTCCACCAGGAGGTCAGGTGGTGAACGTTCGGGAGGGAGGTAACATCGACCTGGTGTGCTTGGTGGTAGAAGGCAAACCCCGTCCACCTATACTGTGGTCACGGATGGAAAAAGACCTGCTAATGTCGTCAGGGGCAACCACGATGGAGACACTTGATGGCCGCTTGATGCTAAGGAATGTGAGCCGGGACATGATGGGGGCGTACCGCTGCCAGACTGCTCCGTACAACGGCCTTAACATCAAACGCAGGGAGGCACAGGTCCAACTCAATGTGCAGTGTAAGTGTGCATCAGATAATAACAACTCAAACTACAACCACATACAACACTGCTGTGGACGTCAAGCAGCAGAAGGACAGGGTCACTTGCATGTGTGTCAATGTAAATAAATACAGATTGGTTAGAGCTGCTTTTAAATACTGTTCCTGCTGCGTTTAGTCTACTATTAAGATAAGACAGGATAATATCAAACTTGATGATGATCCCATAGGTATCATAGTAATATTAGAAGTCATTTGAGCTAAACTTAGGAGATATAAAATATGCAGTAGCAATGTGTAAAATATGTGTGGAGGGACCGTCTACACACATATTATATAAGGGATATTTTATTATGAAAATAATAGTTTAAAGGCTCTAACAGACAGAATTTCAGGATTCAAACAAAGTTATTCCTAATGGTACCTTTTGCATAGGCCTCTATACACCTTAAAACAATTTCTTTGTTGTTATGGTAATATCAGAGATTCCTTAAAACACTTTTATTTGTGCTCCACACTCAATTGTGGCATAATCGTCACAATTCCCTCAAAGCCCTAAAGACAGATACAAAAAAATGTATGGTAATGTAAAGAGTGCAAAAAGGGAGTGTAAAAGAAAATGAGGACACACCTCGATGGCTTTAAGGCTGTTTTCTTTATACCTTTCCCTTCCACTTCGTGAGCCTTCCATTTGGGACTGTCATTATAAATCTCTCGCAGGATGGGCTTTGAGTAAGGAATGAGAGCTGTCTTGCTAAAAGAACACACAATTGTAATGCCGTCTCCATTCCCAAAAGGTTACCCACTTAATCTTACTCTTACAATGTTTGGATTGTAATGGCGCTAGTGACTGTGGAGAGCTTCACGGGACACATTTGATTTAAATGTTTCTATCAATAAAAAGTTCACATAGTCTAGGTAAAATCACTTGGCACCCACATCTGCATGTACATCCCCTGCTGTTACTGACTTTGAGCACTTTCCAACTTATAGCTTTGGTATAACTGAAAAACATGTATTTTACAGAAACTAACTGTTCTGCTTCCAGAAAAACAGAATAGCAGTAGGTTACAAATACATGATGTGCCTCATCTAGGTATAAACTAGCACTGGATGCTGTTTATTAAGCATCTCGTAACCAGTATGTAAAATCAAACATTGCAGACATAATCCTCAGAGAGGGTTGGTTGAGGCTGACCTTCTTAGTTGCATCACCCTATTATTCTGAATAAACACGGACACACACTTTTAAGCACTTTTAAGTTGTATCAAACATTTATTAGTTGAACATAATAATAATATTAATAATACATTTGATTTGTATAGCACACTTTGAAAACAACGTCATCTCAAGGTGCTTCACAATTGAATTATTAAAAGTTATCTAAGAAAAATATTTAATAAAAACATTTGAAAATGTAATACATACAAAACAAGGGAGTTGAATTAAAAAAAAGATATAGATTGGAACCTGCTGTGTGGCACAGCAGTGTATTATTGCATTGGTAAGTGCTCGGTTTTATTCAATAAATGTATGTTAACAGGACTCAAGTACTCAATGCAACCCTTTCAGCACCCTCCTCGTGTGCACAAGGTCAGGCCTTTTAGGCTGCAATTAATTAAAGTGATACAATGTACAAGATATAACAATTACACAAGGATACAAAAAGAAAGAGCAGTACATCTACAACTTAACTAATGACTCAAAGGGAGAGGGAAATGGAAGGCTAAGGACTTTAAAGTGGACCTATCATGCTATATTTGAATAATATAGTGTAGGACCATACCTATATAAGGCATATTTATACTTTTTATTTTTCAAAATATCAAACAGATCATGCATTTTAGCCATTCCTCATTTCGCTCAATGTAACACTGTCTTTGCATGGGCTGATTCTGTGAGAACAGCACCATCTACAGGCCTGGCATATGTACTACAGCGTCTCCAGCGCTTTCGAACGGCAATGTCCGTGGCTGTCTCCTCCTGATTGGTGGAGTTGGCCCAATAGCCGTAGCGCCACTTCTGTGACGTCACAGAAGTGTTCAAATCTGGATCAGTCTGTATCAGATCCGTTGCAGCCTCTTTTTAAGAGATTTGGGTATGGAGGAAAATAGAGAGGGTTGTGTTTTCTGACACTTGGTGAGTTCCCTGGAACATCGGGGACACATATTCATGTATAAAAGACGTAAAAAAGTGCATTTTGTATGATAGGTCACCTTTAAGGAACTGGAGCTACAGTATGAAACGTGTCCTTTTTCAACCAAAGTGCTGATAAACTCAGAAATTCAACGTTTATTATGTCTGAATAATCTTAACAAAAGTGAATCTATCTGGATAATATTAAGACTCTGTGTATAAAATCCTGTACATATTTTAGCATATTATATTTATGTATATTTGAATTATATATAATTCAATTATATATATATTTAAATTATATATATAATATATTTTAGAATCTTGAATCTTGAAAAGTATGGTCACATGTGTAAGGGGTCAGAGTCATTGCTGCTATAGCTGCATTTGTTAAGTTGCCAAACAACCATAGAAGAACCGATAGCCACTAAACAGTACATGTATGTTTTAATTTAATGTTAAGACTATTTCTTTTACTGAAGATCACAAAGAACTGTGTGTTTGCCTGAGAGTACACGGCCTGTTCTTGGACCAATTTCCCACTCTGAAACTCTTGATGAAAACTCCCCCAAAATCACATCTCCCCTTTTCTACTGTCTCCTCTCCTCTCCTCTCCTCTCCTCTCCTCTCCTCTCCTCTCCTCTCCTCTCCTTAACTCTCCTCTCCTTTCCTCTCCTCAACTCTCCTCTCCTCTTATCTCCTCTCCTCAACTCTCCTCAACTCTCCTCAACTCTCCTCAACTCTCCTCTTATCTCCTCTCCTCAACTCTCCTCTCCTCTCCTCTTCAAGAAGGATTTACGGGGCTTGCTAATGCAGGCGGGGCGGAAGAGCAACACTATGCTCTGCTGTCCTCACTGGCCAAGTCTGATTAATGGACCAGGTGGCCACCCCACTCTGGACGGAGAGGGAAACAGAGAGATGAGACAGATACATGAGCAGGACAGATGAAAAGAGAGAGAAACAGTGTTTAGAGTGAATCAGGGAAAGGGATGGCAAGAAGTTACAAAATGTGTGATTAGTAGGTTAGAAAGATGGAAAAAGAGAGAAACAGATTGGCGATGTTTAAAGTGTTTAGCTAAGGCCAACACAAGTGTGTTCACTCTTCCTCTCCCACTGCCCCCCTTTACACCCCACCACTATTTTACTTTATTTATTTCATCAGGTTTGTTTTACCTCCTTCCATTAACCACGAGATGGTGAGATAAGATATATGTAATGGATGCATGCTCTCATTTTTTATGGCAGATATAATTAGGAGGATACGCAGATTCTTGCCACTGTAGCCACTCCCACTTCCTCTTTCTTTGCCCACTTTACCTCCAAGAAAAGTGGCTGTTCTTCCTCATTGCCATTCCTATCATCATCAATCAGTTAACTGCTGGCCATGAGAGAACACCTCTCTCTGTCTTGTCATTCCCTTTCTGCATCCTGCATTCTCCCATCCTCTCCCAACCTCCCATACTCAATCATCGACTTCTCTCACTTTCACACTGGACTTTCCCTATCATTTGTCTTCTTCTTCAAGACCTGTTTCTCTCTGCATTCGTCCCAACTCCTCCCTCTTTCAGTCTCATGTAAATTGATTTTTTTCTCTGTGTACTGTACATGTTTTGCTTGGTCAGTGTTGCATTCCCAGATGGAATCCATTCTGCATTCGATAAGACAGATAGTGAAGGTGTGCTCACACAGATTATGGTCTTCTGATGATGAAAAATATTGCAGTGTCGTGTAGTGAGTCCCCGATGAGTAGCAAACAAATGAGAACAAATGCTCAAGACCATTTGAAAAGTTGTATTTGAAAATAAACAAGCTTCACAACTTAAAAAGTGAGACATAATGCTGAGGATCTTAAATAATTGTTGAATTTAATATTTACGGTCATGTGAGGGGTTTGTACTAACTTGCCTCCCAATTCTTCTGGGGAACGAATGATTTATAAACTGCTCACAACACCCCCCCCCCCCGCTTTTATTTCTATCACCATCGCTCCACAGTTTGCCTGCTTTTTCTTACCCTTGCCACCTGTTTTCAAAGTCAGCCATCAGTATGCATATGTGTGTCTATACGCAGGAGTCGGGTCTGTGACCATACACTAATCAGTCTATAGGATTGCATTGACCTTTGACCTCCCACTCACTCCTCTGCTGCATCACTTGTTTCAGTTGTAGCTGCAGGAAGTAAGCAACACATTCATTTCAAGAGGTCAGGGAACATAATATTGACTAGAAACACAATTTATATTCTCATTAAAATAAAAAAACGTATGAGGCTGTATGTATGTTGCATCCTCATGTTGGGATGAACACAGCTGAGACATATTTGGTGGTTTTCATGTTAGCATGCAGGTGCTTACTCACGGTTCTCTGACTGGAGTGCAAGCTCAGAATGGCAAACTGTGATTCTCAACAAGGATTCAGTTTGGCCATGCCATAGCAGAACAAACATAATGTGAAAGGTTCACTATGAGAGATTTGATAAGCTTTGTGTTCATTCATCTCAGCAGTTTTGTGTTTGTGCTATGGGTTACAATTTGTTTTCTTTATCTTTTTGAGAATGTGAAAACAGTATGAGAATCAATCAGTTGAACTTTACTGGCACGATAAATCATATAATAATGTAATAATGATAATTATAAAAATCCAGCTACTGTAAGTCAGTGCAGTCCCCCCCCCCCCCNACCCACAACACCCATCCACAGACCCCTAGGCCAGTGCTAACAATTCCCATACCGGAACCCATAACACTACCCCTAACCAAAACCTAACCCTGCCCGTGCCATTGGTCTGGACTGACTACACCACACTCCACCACAATTCCTATCCTGTATCCCCCCCTTTCTCTCCTCCTAACTCTTTCTCCATCTATATTACAGGCATAACACAGATTAGACTTAATTACATATCTGTGTCTGATAAACTTGATTCATAAGAGACTCTAGTCGTGCAGCTTCACCCCTCGGGGCCCTAACACCAGATCTCATCACTGTTAGTCCGGCAATACCGTCATTAGAACCTTATCTATTATCTACATGATTTGCCAGGGGTGAAAAGCTGTGATTTGTAGCAGACTCATTTGGCTGTCTTGTGTCCGGGCTGACCCCAGGGCAACAACAGCTAGTCAGTCATTAACCGCAGAGCTACACATCCCTGCTGACAGGTTAATTACAGCTGGTTAGGATAGGACACTGTAGCAGCGGTGTTGGGACTATGCCTTGTAGAAATGCCTGATCCCTTGTGGAAATAACAGTTGCTCTGTGTCAGATTATTTGTCAAAACTAATGTTTTCTAACGCTGTGAGGAATTCTACACTGCAGAGGGCAAACAGATTTTAAACATGGGTGATGGTGGTGTTTATGTACACCGTTGCAGTGCATTTTGCATTATCCAAATTTCTAGCTGAAATATCCTTTTCAAACTGTTCTTCTTCCGTTTATCTCCATCTCTCCTTTTATGATGGAAATAGATTTTAAAATGGAAAATGATTACTGATAATGGGTTTTACATGGATACATCCCAGCAGTCAATTACGTTATCAAACTGTCAATAGTAACTGTTTTAGCACACTTGTAAATCACTGTTACCACAAGAGGACTTAGACTCGAGCATACAGTCATTAATGTGAACGAAATAAATGAGGTTGATGGTTACAGTAGTTTGTGCTATTAGCTACGACAGACTGACATAGACATGAGACGATTTTGCAATGTCACATTTATTGACATTGCAGGCTGGACAGTATAAATCAACAAACGTTGTAAGTAAGCTGAAACTCGATTCTGTTGTCTCCTCAGATCCTCCCATACTGGACCCAGGCGACCCGGATGTGCGTTCAAGGAACTATCAGATGGTGACCCTGAGGTGTACGGTGGTACGCTCATTCCCGACACGCCTTATAGACATCCGCTGGTTCCGTAATGGCGAAATAATCCGCATGCCCATGCCAGACACTAAGGAGAAGCCAGAGCTGAAGTTTAAGCTGGACCCCACCAACAACGGCTCGTATGAGTGTCGAGTCACCAATAGTGCAGGGACATCAACATGTGCATTTAATGTCTCTGGTAAGCAAATGACATGAGCCAGCTGTGAACTGCTACACCTGAACATAATCTGTCTAAATCAATGTATACTACTGGTAATCCATCTCTCCAACTCTTTCATGCTCAACATGATGCATTTATCTGTTCTTTATGATTAATGTATCAATGATACGTTGTTCTCTCTCCCTCCCTCATCTCACAGCACAACCCTACAATGCTGAGTTTTACTTCGACACACCCAACCCAGTGCGAATTCAAAAAGGAAACAACTATTCCTACAACCTGCAGTGGACACAGAGAGATCCTGAGGCCACGGATCGTATCATAGGTTACTGGATTAATGTTCGAAAGGTAAAGGAATACTGCACATATACATAGGTATACATCCCAGACTCCCATGCAAGCCTATGGAAGCACATGTACATACACAGCTAGCCAATACACATGCACACTCACATGTAGCACACATGTAGCAACTAGCTAACTTCTGGTTCAGCCCAAGGCAAACTTTGGTTACATGGTTTATTTATTAGGTTTTCAATCACCTTTACTGAACAGACTAACAACTTGTGTATGTCAAACACACACACGCACAAGTCCTTGAAGAGGGGAGTGTGTATGCTAAGTAAACATGAGGCTTTATGAGCTTGGGCAGTGTCCGGCTTGTGTAGTCAATCAATGGAGACCTCAACTGAATTACAACAATGTCACAGCCCCTCCTCTCCTCTCCTCTCCTCTCCTCTCCTCTCCTCTCCTCTCCTCTCCTCTCCTCTAGCTTTATTTGTGACGGTCAGTTTTTACTTTAAAATAACCCATTTACTTCCATTTAACAGATTACTCTGATGCAATTCCTACCAATTATTAAAAATATGTTGTATAGAGGTCCACTGTTTACAGAAATCTACCTGCAATAAGCACATCTTATAAGGCGTTCAATCAGAATGGATAGAAAAGGGAGCAGGGCCAAACGTTAGTAATTGTGAACCAAAGCAAAGAGAACAAAAAGATAAAATGGACATCGTTGTTTGCTCATCAAATTGGGCACATTATCAAAAAATAAATAAAGGTAGAAATATATTTTTTTCCATTATTCGGTTCCTTCTTCTCCCCTCTCATATTTTCTCCTCTCTTCTTGTTCCCCCTTGTCATGAGTAGCAATCTCCAGCAGCTCTCATCACTCAGTCCTATCAAATGCGGACTCCATTTTCCACTCTTCAGTACTCTAAAAAAATGCCCCATTAAGGGGTTGCGCTTGATTTCCCAGAACTAAGGTTATGCCTAACCATCCTTTCAAACTTTTCACATACGTCCACATGACTTTGCTGTCTCTGCAAGATTCTAATTTGGAGAGCCAGACAAAAACGTGGTCACCAACAAGACCTGACCAACGTCTCTCATTTCTCTATTGGTTTAAGAGAGCACTTGTTTCCATATTTTATCTTTGCCTCAAATGATTGACTTTGAATTGATGTGACTTCTTTTTCACAGCCTGTGAGTGGTGTTTAATTAGTCCCGCAGTCACAAACTTAAATTTAGAATTACCTTGCACTTAAATAACCTCTTACAACATCGCACTAACATCACCTTAAATCAGCTTTTTTGCCTGTAAAGAAAATCAATTCTCCCAGGGAGATATATCGTATAGATTTTATTTGCCACAGTTAACATATACATAGCTGTTCTATAAACAAATAAATACTGTTTAAAAACTGACTGCTACTAGTAATGACCGATATTATGGCTGATTATAAGGATTTGATCTTCTCTAACCCCAACCAAACCCCTCCTTTAAAACATTATTTAAGCCCTCTGAGCGGGCCCCGAACAAAGTTTGTAGCCTTTGTCCACAACAGGAGAGCAACCTCAGGCCACCCTCTTGTTTTGTTTCAAACATCTATTCATAGATGACTGGCCTTGAGTCAGAAGTGAGGAAGGATAATAGTGAATTATACACAACGAGCTGGGGGTCGGTGTGTGTGCATGTGTCTGTGTTTGAGACACTGAAATAGGGGAAATGCTGGGTCTGCCAGCTTGCTTTTGTGCGGATGAATGGCTAATTCCCCTCCTCCTTTAAGACTTGGCTGCTTACCTCATTAAGTGAGACTCTACAGGGAGACCGAGAATGAGCACTGGCCTATGCACATTTGATCGCATGCATCAGCTCTCTGAAATCTCTCGCTCTACCTCTCTCTTGTTCCCTCTTCCTTTGTCCTCTGTCCATCGTCCAATATCTTTCACACACACACCATCTCTTCCAATGTTCTAATACTTGCTTTTCCTTTGCCATCCCTCAGTCTTCACGCTCCTCTCTCTCGCTTTCCCTCTACCCTTTCAGTTTTTCCTGCTCAGATGTAGCCGTGCATCTGAATTGCATTGATAAATAATTGCTGAGTCTTTGTGCTGGCAGTGTTCAAATAATGAGTAAGTGACATTTTTGTACTTATTATATTTGGTTTAAATGTAATTTAATTTCAGGGTTTTCACCTGCATGTGTTTACGTGGGCAAGAGAGCGGTAAAATGAGAAGGAAAAAAAAGGAAAAGCAGACGGTGAGATTGAGCGGGGAAGTGAATGAAGGAAGAGAGAAATAAGATGCAAATTAAAGAAAAACAGCAAATCTCACTGGTCCTCTCGACTATTAAATAGAGTACGAGAACATTCAAATGTAATACCATCTCAATTTCACATCCCATCTATTTCTGCAACACTCTCCAGCTCATCTTCTTAACGCCCTGACACTCTATCTTTTTAGCACATATAAGATGATGTATGGGGTCCCAGAGGAGACATGAAGACACAGAGGGGAATTAAAGAGGACTCAGATCAGTTCATGTAGAGCACTTCCCTTCACTCTGGGTCTGAGCACATGCCAATCATTTAGTGTGTCCATTGCTTTTTGCTCCTATGTATGTGGTTGTGTGGATGAGCTAATGTATTCATTATCTGTTGGTACACCGTATGTCTATTTACGTGTGTGTGTGTGTGTGTGTGTGTGTGTGTGTGTGTGTGTGTGTGTGTGTGTGTGTGTGTGTGTGTGTGTGTGTGTGTGTGTGTGTGTGTGTGTGTGTGTGTGTGTGTGTGTGTGTGTGTAATTACATGTTTTTTCTCCATATACTCATTACCAGGCTGACAAATTATCATTTACACTTCTCAACTACGTTTGGTTCTCTCTGCGGGGGTTTTCCCTGTATGGGAATTAACAGAGTTAACAGGCCCGCCTGGTTTCATCAAGTTGTCCTAACAACCCTTTTCTACACCCCGACAGTTTCCTAAAGAGTAGCGTAATTAATGAGAGAAAATTAACATGTGTTGATTTTACCTTTTTGCAACAAAGGAGGAAGATTTGCTAAGCCGTAGATAATTTTAAAGACCTTTCCTCTGAAACTGTGTACTGGCGTAGGAGGCTGTCTGTCTTAAGAATCGCACCTTTTTAATTAATTGAGTGCATGTCTCATGCATATGCATAGGGAGGAGTATCATGTGAATATCATGCTGCTTTCAGATTAATTTAATTTAGTAGGGAATCTATCACATGAATATACAAATGATGCTCTGAAAAGCAGCTACAGATTTGTTCACAATCACAACAGACGGAAAATGTATAAAATAAATATATGTTATGTCTGAGTCTGTTTTAAGCCTCACAGAGCGAATTAGCACTTTATGGGATCTTTCCTTAAACTTTGTATGAAATTTCACCACCTCTAAAAAATACCTTTCACTCTATAGCATTTCCACATTTATTTTCATTTACCAACAATGTACAGTCTAACAAAACATTTACATAATGTATGCCTGTGGAGTTATTAAACCCTGATACCGACATGCAGTTTAAACCTTACGGACACACAGCATCTACTGTAGGGAAGCATACACTTTCTGTACACATATACTGCACATCAGAGAACTAATCAAAAATGTCTCAGTTTGTACTCTTCTACTGTGTTGTGGCTTTCTTATTGCTTTTTCTGCCTTCACAAACCTTTCTACTCCCATCTCTCAATCTTTCCACCTCATCTTCTATATCGACCACTCGTCTGTCTGTGGCTATGGAGTTGTGTATTGTGTGTTTCATTGAAGCAGTGCGGCTATTGGCTGACCTGGCTTCAGATCATAAGGCACAGTCTCACACAGTCACACAAACTCTCCTGTGCAAACACACATGCCCATTATCATATATATGAGAAATTAAGAATATTCATGATGAATTAGAGTTGTACGTTAAATCAAATGCATGAATCATTTATGTACATAATCAACCTCCCTATGCAGATGCACTCGTATATGCAAGCACTCATAAATACAGACAGAGTACACACATGATGACTACTTCACTTACACACACAATGTCAATGAATTGCTGGATCAATCATGAAAGGGATCCATTAATAGAGGATAATAGAAAAATTAACCTCACCCTCCTTAGTGTTTGAAGGAGCCACCTCCTCTCATGCTGTCAGTCAACACTGTGCACACACACACACACACACACACACACACACACACACACACACACACACACACACACACAAACACTCCCTGACTGTGTTACAATCTCATGGCTGCTCTCTAACCCTCCTTCACACATTCTATCTTGTTGTCTCTTTGTTGACAGCTGATAAAGACACTGCTGAAAAGACTGTCTGGCTGAAATTTCTGAAAGCATGCGGCACAGGAACACACACACAAACACCCACGCACATCAAGAGAATTATAAGGACTTCCATATTCGTTTATCACCACCCCTCTGCCTCTGTAAATATGTCACTCACGCACTCACTTGGGTCACTTCTGACTGTCTCATTCTGGTGGTCCTTTCTCTACATGCTGGATGTCTTTTCCCCCTTCACGACCCATTCCCTGTCTCTCACATGCAACCCACAAACACACATATTTGGTCAGATTACCTATTGAGGGAGACAGAGAGAGGGAGACGGAGTCTTTTAACTGCAGTGGGTGCAGTCACACTTCAGCACTTTATTGATCCAGTGTGTGTTTTCAGATCCACAGAATGTGTTTTTGTGTGTGTGTGTGTTTCGCATGCGTTTACTCTAGTTATTTGTTCTTATCATCCATATCACACATTCTAACCAGGACCAAAACAATTGTGTGTGTGTGTGTGTGTGTGTGTGTGTGTGTGTGCGTGCGTGCGTGCGTGCATGTGTGTGCGTGTGTGTTTGCAAAAAATCCACATTCCACTTACTTCTAAACTCCTCAGCATTATTACCTCATCTCTCTGTGCTAACACACACTCTATGCATATTACATGAGCATAGCTTTTCTATCCTGCTATATTTCATATAATTATGCATATGCTGTATGAGAAATGTGTAAATGTTTATATGGATGAATGTAAGCACAAGTGGGTGTTAAAAGGGCACAATACATTTTACAGTATAACTGCTACAAGGCAAAATACACTATACAGTAGTTTATGTAGTTAGTTATGGTCGATTAACTTAGCAAGTACTTGAGCAAATGTCTTACAATGCATATTGTACACTGGAAGCCATCAGTCAGTATAGTCAACAATATCAAAAGTCATGGTCAATGAAAACTGCACTCAGAACCTTCAAGAGGAATACAATAGAAAAAGGTATAAAGTTGTCATTATCTTCTTGGATTACCTCCTACAGCTCTGCACGTAGCACCCTGCTTCCTTCCAGCCTTTTGCTTTTAATACAGTTGGCTATCTACACTTCTTCATTATGTGTTAAAGCATGATACTAGCAGAAAGTAGTGTCATACACTTATACTGTACCTGACTGAGCATTGCATGTTACTTTATTCTTCTAGTCCATTAGATATCAGAGGGAAATACTTAGCTTTTTACTGCAATACATTTATTTGAAATGATGTTCTTCCAAATTGCAAACAAACTAAGATTTGACATTGAAAAAAAAGAAAAAAAGCTTTTTTCCAATGATTTGGCCTTTGACCCCGGAGACAGATTTTATTTGTTTGTTTTGTTTGAAAAATATGTATTTGTGATCCATCAGATTGTCCAGTGCTTCCTATCGTAGGGACACAACAATATACAGTACACTATTTATACTTTTTTAATGCAGGACTTTAACTTACATAAATAAAGTATATTGTTTTTATTAACTTATTGATCTGATGTCTTCTTACACGATTGGATTTACCGGTGTCCTTCATAGTTATCAAATCCTACATTCGACTAATTAATTGATTTTTTTGGTCGCTAAATAGATATTTACATTGTATCGTTCTTTCAGCAGCTAGGGGTCCAGAACTTAGTCATGCAAACTTTAACAAGACACTTCGCTGTTTGAGAAATCGAAACCTGTGACCTTTCCTTAATGTGATGGTCTCTTAAACCAAAAGGTTGCTTTACTGCGTCTTTATTGAAAGATGCAGTATCCTGTTATATAATCCTGCTCAAAAGTTAGATCTCTTTATTCATTCTATGTTAGTTGATGCTGCTAACTAGAGAGATATCTGCTGGGTGCAATTTTGGAATCAACCAAAAATATGTGGATCACACCCACTGCATTACAACAGGTGTCCTGTGTGCAAAGGTCATAGCCATCATGTAAACGTCTTGTGCTCAGAATGTGCTAGGAAAATGTAAATGGAGTAGCAGATTGGAGGGTTCTTTGAAACAATTAACATTTATTCAAAAAGTGAACATTTTTCTGTTATTTGTTTAGAGAAAATGTATTTTTTATCTGGGAGAAAAGATGATATCGCCTCGGTTGAAGGGTACCTGCTGTTGTGCATGGTGGGAGAAGGATGTTCCATGACTGGCAAGAGAGGGTGAAAAGTTGGAAGAACTGAAAATTGGAAACAGACAGACTGGCACTGTGAAAAGAAGATTTAACAGCCATTAGTGGCAAAGGGCCTGGTGAGGAAGGGAGGATTTGATTCCAAGTGTGTTGCCCAGCACAAACTTGCAGAGACCAGGCTGTGGCTGCCATATGGGACTGGCATAATAATTGGACTCATACCAAATTATATGCAGCCTGTGCAGGAGTCACCATGGTCTTGTCAATAGAAATGATTAGCACAGTCTAGCTAGAGTTTGAATTTGTGGTAGGGAGTAGACATCCAACTGGAATAGCTCACTTGAACTTGAGTGTCAGAGGACAGGAGAAAAAGCAGAAGTCACCGTTGAGATGTCAGAACATACAGTAGTGAAGCAATTATAGGGAAAGTAATGGCATGCATCAGTGTATGACCTGCCAAACTATTTGGACTGGAGTAGCTGAATAGAAGCAGCACAACAACAATGCTCTTTATTATTGTTATTTATACACTTTCCACAAATATCCCACAAAAATGGAATAGACACAAATGGTTAATATAACTTTTTTATACTTTGCTTTTTGATCTTTTATATCAATTGTACGTGTGTTGGAAGGGCTTTGTGCCTGTGGACATTTACCACACACACACACACACACACACACACACACACACACACACACACACACACACACACACACACACACACACACACACACGCACACGCACGCACACGCACGCACACGCACGCACACACACGCACACACACGCACACACACACACACACACACACACACACACACACACACACACACACACACGCACACACACGCACACACACGCACACACACGCACACACACGCACACACACGCACCTACTCACACCACTACGTCCACTTATGCTGCATGCATTACCTGATAATGGCATGCTGTGGGTGTACTAAGGTGTTATGCTGGAGTGGCTGACCTAATGCATTAGATTGAGCTCACTGTCAGGTCTTTAAGTAGCTGGGATCAGAGGCAGATACACAGCTAATGGATCCTTCTCTCTGTGGGTGGAATAACACAGCGTTAGCTCTATTAAAAGTGGTGCTAACTAAAAAAAAAAAATACTAACTTAACTTTCAAAAAATGAGGAGACAACTGGACTGCATTTACATCATAGCCATTTGTATTTCCGTATTCGTTTCTGTATTAAACAGCCAATCCTTTTTTAAAAGCTTAGGATTTAAGCTGCAAAGTGAAATAAATATTTCTTTAGATTATACTGATACAGGTTATATTTATTGAGTCTATGTGTTCAGAGCTTTGGGCAATATTACATTGTGTTGCATATCACTCAGTAACATCATTTTTTTTAAAGCAGAGTATGTTTCGGTGGTAATTCTTTTGACAGCTGTTTAGCTTTGTTTTGGATAAAAGATTAGTTTGAAACAAGTATGCAGTCCAAGATAGCTACAATCCAAGTCTTTGGGTATTTTGACTGGCTGTGAGCCCAGAACTGGCTGTATGCCCATGGGAAATTCCATTGACGGTAAATTGAAATGCCAGGAAGCGTGTGCAATAGGAAGAGTAAAATAATATGACGATATAGTGATTAATAAGCTTTGAGTAAATAAAGGATTGGTGCTTCTGCAATACGAAGCAAATATCTTTGATCAGTCTTTTAGAGAAATGCTTTGATCATATCTGAGCAGGAGGCCTTTCTGTCAGGAGGTTCACTTTTTCTGTTTATATAAAAGTACATAAACACTGTAATTCTAGGATCAGTTAATATCACTGTGAACATATTAACAGTTGGAGATGAACTGAAGCTTTGTGTGAGCATATCAACATAACATGGTAGAGATAAAAGTGAAGAAGACATAAAGAAAAAAGAAAAGTTTCTCCGTCTGATACGGGGCTGTGGCTCAGTGGATAGTGTGCTGGACTTCAAATCTGGGGATAGCAAGTTCGAGTCCCACTGCAGTCAGCATGTCGTTGTGTCCCTGGGCAAGACACTTCACCCCAAATTGCTCCTGTGGTGATTGCCCACAGTATTGATGTATATAAGTCGCTTTGGTTAAAAGCGTCTAACAAATGACATGCAATGTAATGTAATGATATCCTTGTGATCATCTTTTGTTGTGCAATGTATTTTCTTTGTACTGTTTTATGCAAGCTTTTGCATATTTGTTAAGTATACGTTTTAAAATGTCTGCATGTTCCCTGCTCGTGTGTGTGTGTTCCCTCTCTAGAACAAGCAGAACGTGCTCTCAAAGCAGATAGACCTCAAGGGCAAGGAGCCAGAGAAGGGTGTGCTGCTGTCCCACACCATATCAGACCTGAGGATCCCTCTGTCCTACGAGGTCCGACTGGCACCCATCACCACCTACAGCACCGGGGAGTACGCCAGCCGCATCATACAGTACTCAGAGCGTAAGTCTTATTGTAAACTACCAAACATGTTTGTAACGTAATTATCTTTCATTTTTAGATACATATTGACAATGTACAAAGCATGTTGACTAAGCATAGCTGATTTTGTTTCCAAACAGCCTACACCTACCCAAGACCTTCAGGTGAGACTTCTCTCTTAACTTCAATCTTCTGGTTTTCAAGGTTAAGCCTGGTGTTAGGTCATGATTGAGGATAGGGTGTTGAAGTCAGGAGTGCATGTTCACATTTTACTGGCTAATTAAGCGTTAATGGTGAAATCAGCACCATTTTGTAAAGGCAAAGTTTGGCATGACCCTGCCTTGTTTTTGATGACATCTTGAGAGTGGGGGAACAGTGGAGAGAAACAAATAAAAGGATCAGTGACATTTAATATGTCATCAAAGTGTGTTAACATTAGAACGATATGAGACCGGTTAATGCAAAAGGTTAATGAGCAAAATACTTCAAACACACTTGACGATACTACCTTAAAGCTGTGCCTCCTTTATCCCTGTTAGCTCTCCTCTCGCAAGTCCTTCACTCCCTGCTTCTCATCCTCACTCTTGCAATCCTTCTCTCTTTACAGTCAATAGCATATTGTCTATTTTCTTCATTAAGAGACACCCCACATTTTTCTGGCAGGAGTGGCAGTTTGCTCAGCCAGGGTGAAGCAATTAAAACAACAACAGATTGTAACAGACTGTGAGAACAACAGTGCAAATTGAAAGGAGCCCATGTAGTGGGGCTGGGTGTGAATAGTAATAGATTAGCTGACTGAAACAAAGAAACACAAACGAGCCATCCTCGTGGGTATCGCAGGCCATATGCATCTGCAGCGAACTGTGTGAGTGCTTGGGAAGCTCTCACGGAATCTGTCAGCTTGGATGGTTTTCGATAGCTGTCGTTGAACTCGCTTGCCTCTATTTCCATTTGTTTGGTGAGTCTGTGATAATGGCAGAGCACTCCAGATGGGCTAATGGAGGGGATGACATAGAGAGAAGCCCTTCTATCTGACTTAACAAGACACATCACCATCACGGATAATGGCATTTCTCTTTGCACATGTTTTTGTTAAAATTATATATTTTTCTCCATTTCGTTGTATGTGATTAAATGAAAAAGTAAAAGTTCTAAACGTGCCAAAAAAATCTGCCTTATATATCTCACACATATATCACAATGTATACAAATTCAAGTTCCCATGTTCCCCGTTTAGAGAAGTTGTAGCTCTTTGCATGGAAGACTCTTCTTTAATGAATGTATGTTTGTCTTTTTTCCCTTGTGATAAGCAGACTTTAAAGTGTTAACAAGCGTCATATTTGAAATAAAGAATAACAAACTTCTTCTAGCTTAAACCCAAGGTAGAGTAGATCAACAGCTTTTACCCTAAGTATTTTGTTCCAATGTCTTTATATTGTTCTCCATAATATCTCCAGCCTTACCTTATTTTTTCGTCAGAAGTCTTTTAAGAGTTAAACCTATTAACACATTTATCTTCCTTTTTTATGTCTAGCTTTTCTACATTTGACATGGCCTGGCCTAATCATAGTTACCTTTAAAGTGTTCTGCATGTGGGAGTCATGCATCAGAATGTGCATAATATGCATAATTCACTTTAAGTTTCACATTATACACCCTTCCTCCCACATTGTGCCTATCACTTTGTCAGTAATTGCCTGGCTGTCTGATCTTCACATTTGGATTGCATATTGCAGAGGTTATTATATAGCTATATCGTTGCCATTAATATTACGGTAAAAGTGGGTCGGAAAAAAAACCTGAAGATTATTTCATCGGCAGTTTGTGATGTCAAATGCTTTAAATGTCACTGATTAAAAATGTTTTTCTTGTTTTTTCTCCACATACACACACACCTCCCAGACCATGTGTGTGGTTTTGAGGATCAGAGGATCTGTGGTTTCTCTCAAGACCGGAGTGATGTCTTCGACTGGACGAGACAAAATCACCTATCCCAGAATCCCAAGCGATCTGCCAATACCGGACCCGAGACTGACCGCAGTGGAACCAAGGAAGGTGAGGAAACCAGGGAAAGATTTACAGTTTCAGTTCTATGTGTTGTCGTCAAAGTATTACAGCGACAGGGCTGTATATAATACACAATGCACAATTGTACAACATTGTAATTACATTACTTTGTTCTGTTTCATTTGATCCTCGGACAATAGAGTGTTGTCTTGTACGTTTCAGGGTACTACATGTACATTGAAGCATCACGGCCGCGCACTGAGGGGGACAAGGCTCGTCTGCTTTCTCCACTTTTTAATGTGACCTCAGTCAGAGGCCCCAAGGGCTCCGGCAGAGTCCCATACTGTGTCGCTTTCTACTACCACATGAAGGGAAAGCATATTGGTGAGTAATACAACAAAACATAATTTTTTCTCTCAAAAACACAAATGGTTATCCAGTAGTGGGCACACTCATACTCAATGCAATCGAGGTTCTCATATACAGTAGCTGAGCACCTGTCAAAGCTGAACTCTGCTCTTGACCCCCGCTTGTAGGGCTGGTCAGAAACAACATTGTACGTGTGTGTATGTGTGGGAGTCAGAAGGAGGGGGTAGGGGCGTTACTAAAGTTCTGTTTGTTTCTTCTTGTGCCTCAGCGTGTATTTGGAGGTGGCTGAAGGGGGCAGTGGGTGTGTGATTAATGGTAGTGGCAAGACACAATCAGTCATTTGGGGGAGCTGTTCATCATAATATGCTCCGTCACACAGCTAGAATGCATACATCTTGTAGCCTACACACCTGCACACAAACTTTGACACAGGAATGGATTCACACAAAAAACGTACAGTAGAAGTTGCAACTACATAAAGGCACAAACACACATTTGTTCACAGACACGCACACATACACAATGTTGATTTATGTGTCCAAAGCACAAGCCTGCAGGCTTCACTGTAACATTTGTTACATTCTGACCTGCCCTGCCTACTAAGGATATTATAGTGTTTGGAAGGGCACAATGTTGGTGTGTGTGTGTGTGTGTGTGTGTGTGTGTGTGTGTGTGTGTGTGTGTGTGTGTGTGTGTGTGTGTGTGTGTGTGTGTGTGTGTGTGTGTGTGTGTGTGTGTGTGTGTGTGGTAAATGTCCACAGGCACAAAGCCCTTCCAACACATGTACAATTGTGTGTGTGTGTGTGTGTGTGTGTGTGGTGTGTGTGTGTGTGTGTGTGTGTGTGTGTGTGTGTGTGGTAATGTGTGTGTGTGTGTGTGTGTGTGTGTGTGTGTGTGTGTGTGTGTGTGTGTGTGTGTGTGTGTGTGTGTGTGTGTGTGTGTGTGTGTGTGTGTGTGGTAAATGTCCTCAGGCACAAAGCCCTTCCAACACATGTAAAATTGATGTGTGTGTGTGTGTGTGTGTGTGTGTGTGTGTGTGTGTGTGTGTGTGTGTGTGTGTGTGTGTGTGTGTGTGTGTGTGTGTGTGTGTGTGTGTATACTTTACTGTATGAATATAAGAAAAGGCATTTTGTCTAAAACATTGTTTGAGGGTTATGATATAGAAAAGCTCACTTATTCTCAGCCTAGTTGTTTATTGTTTAGCCATCAGCAACATTATCTGTTTTTGTTTACCACTTTTATGAACTGAAATTTCTTGACTAAATTAAGTCAACAATTAGCAATGGGATGTTATTAAATTGTGTTCATTCATTGTCCCCAGGTGATGAGTCCTATTGTTTTCTTCTTAATCATCACCACACATTTGGTGCAAACATTCATATTCCAGGAATTGCAATATATATCTTTATATGATCAACATCAAAAATACCAGCAATATTAGTGTAAGGCTATACACATGCTGATGTGAGCTTTTAGCAATGTATAGCTTGACAGAGCCACTATCAAACACATTCAGTCTGAAAGCTAAACACTGCAGCACTTATTACAGTGCCCAATCTCTACTCAGTTATAAAACACACAGTGACATTTTGAGATTAAACATCCGACTAGCAATCAGGCAGTGTCATTATTGAGCAAGACTATTAATATAGACATGTATTTTTTAACTCAAAGTACATCAAAATGGATGCGTCCATCAACAAAGAACCGCTCTGCTGTGTATTCTGTTCATCAACATGACAGAAAGTGTGTCCTTTGCTGACAAAATGAATAGCCTGACCTTTAACATGTATACACTCTGGCAAATCTTTTGAAAACGTTATATATCCTCGGAGTTAAGATACAAATCACAGAGGGGGTGGACCAAGCTAGGGCTTACATTTCACATAAAGGTGACCTATCATGCAAAATTCACTTTTGTACGTCTTTTATACATGAACATGTGTCCCCGGTGTGTCAGGGAACTCACCAAGTGTCAGAAAACACAACCCTCTCTATTTTCCTCCATACCCAAATCTCTTAAAAAGGGGCTGCAACGGATCTGATACAGACTGATCCAGATTTGAACACTTCTATGACGTCACAGAAGTGGCGCTACGGCTATTGGGCCAACTCCACCAATCAGGAGGAGACAGCCACGGACATTGCCGTTGGAAAGCGCTGGAGACGCTGTAGTACATATGCCAGGCCTGTAGATGGTGCTGTTCTCACAGAATCAGCCCATGCAAAGACAGTGTTAAATTGAGCGAAATGAGGAATGGCTAAAATGCATGATCTGTTTGATATTTTGAAAAATAAAAAGTATAAATATGCCTTATATAGGTATAGTCCTACACTATATTATTCAAATATAGCATGATAGGTCCACTCCAAGTACTCAAATGGATTTCACGACATCTTTTACAGCATGGTCCCCAGAGGGCTTAGTTTGCTGTTTTTGGTATTCTGCTGATTATTTCTCTAGTACCGGCAGCAGTGGTGACCTTCATTTAGTCAAATATCTGACTGATGGATTGGCCACTAATTTTCGAATGCTGAACCAAATGTTATTTTTAACATGTAAATCATTTTTGATATTTTCAAATGAAACTTCTAATGTCTGCCATCATATGTTATGACAGAATGCAGTGATTCATTTGGTTGAATTAACTAAGTATTTTTTCTATTGAATCAAATCTCTCCAATAAAACAAACTTTTAATTATATTTTTGTAGACTTGCTACAGCGCTCTGCAGTCATTGGTTAAGACAATACATATCAATAATCATATTTGAAAACTAATAACGTTACTGTACTCAAGCCTTATCTTTATCTACAAATGAAACAGAATAAACATGCAGGGAAAAGAGAGTGCAGTATAATAATGTTGATTTAGATTTGTCAACATGATGTTACAGCCCCCTTCATTTAATTATTCCCAGAGGCTGAATCTTAATGATTCCTTCACTTTCCATCTAGCGCTACCCACGAGTTTACATTATAGTTTTGGATTACTTTACGCAGGCATGTCAAACACAGGACACATTGTAATAACTATCCCCTTAACTCTTTCTTTCGTGGTGGCACACACACAATGTCTCTACCTCATGATGGTTTTTGCACAGGTTGAGTCAACATCACCCGTAATCATCATCCTTTTATTTTGCCGATGCATACAAGGAGTAAAACGTGATTTAATAATGATATTGTGGTCTGTATGAGTCATGCTGCCTGCTTAAGCACAGCGAGGAGCTTTTATCGGTCTCGCTCACCACTATCAAACCCTATAATCCTCCTTGTAAATGCAACGTAATGCACTTGAATTATAATGAGTCTGATTGTTGCTCTAAGCTCTTTTATAAATGCAGGCTGAGGCCTTGGCAAAGATTCACTCAGGCCATCTGGGTACATGTGAGGTGCAGCTGGTGACACTTTACCAGGCTCACTCATTAACAACACATTTCATTACTAGTTAAGTATTGATCTAATTAATTATATTTGTATATCTGGTTGACAAAAGAAAAACATGCATCAAAAGAAAAGAAAAAGAAAGGCACCTAATTTTCCAGTGAAATGTTGTTTGTTGAAAAATAATCCCCATTTATTATCTTCTTATTTCCTTAATAAGGCAGGGAGAGATTATCCGCCTCCTCGCTGGTGTTTGATCTCCCCGAGGAAAAAAACGAATGACACAGAACAGGAAGTTAGGTAGTTATGCAATAAATTGAATGTCAAATAGGAAGATGCCCTTTTGGAATGGTCCCTCTGCCCCTTTCACCTGAGGGACCCTCGAGAGACGTGCATCTGCTGACTCATTAATGTAAGCAAGAGGATACTGCTTAGTTCACACTCTACGGGATTCAGTGGCTACACACACACTTAAACACCAGCTAACACACACACACACACACACACACACACACACACACACACACACACACACACACACACACAC